CAAGCAAATATTTTGACCTGCAAGAAACCCAAGGTACAAGAAACTACGCACGCCGCTATTCTTCATACTGGCACGTGGCGCATATTTCTTGCACTTTCTCACAGTTTCTTGCACCTCGCATTTCTTGCGTTTCTTGCTTTCCAGTGCAAGAAATGCAGAAAACCTGTAAAGAAACGTAGCACTGTTGCCTTCCAGTATTCATCTGTATTGAAGTAATAAATATTTAGCAAGTCATAGTCCTACGAAGGTAACGTTTGTGAGTCAGAAATTTTATGTACATGGTGTGCCCTTCAGTCGTCCCTAGACGCAGATATGACTCAACTCTTTATCACATATGGGACGATATTACGCGTTTTCTTGGCCGGAGGATGCATTACTGCTGCCCCGCTTCATTTCGACTGAGCTGCTTTCACTTCTGCCTGATTATTACCTAAACCCAGTTTTCATCTGTGTTTATGAGACTAACCAGCGAGACTGGTGGAAGAGGAGAAAAAAATCCAGACAAAAAATTGGATTGAGCAAATCCGAGCCAATTCAATGTCAACCTTTTTGCCAGAACTGACGAGAGTAGGAAAAGCTAACTAGACAGACAAGCCGGACAGAAAATAAGCAAGGCACGAAATCCGAGAAAGGCAGAATGTGGAATTACTTACATGGATAATAACAGTATGGCTGGAACCACACACTCACAATCTGTCATTCGTCCAACGTAATCTAATGCAATGAACTGTACCGCACTAAAAATATGTATTATCACATTATTTCTTACAAGATTGTGTAAGGTTACGTTAAATAATGGTACAAAGAAATGGGCATGATCATTATCAAGTTACAAGGGAGGTCTCCCAGCGTATGTTCTCCGATTTTGAGCAAACTAATGCGAATCAATCACAAATTTAGTTAGTATGAAATTTGCAAACGACACGATCTCCGAATTCGCAGGTTTAGCAGAGATTTTTGCATCCGAAGAGGAGAAAATGCGCAGTAAACTTTGATAGTGTAAAATTTGTCAACTTTAAGGCGCATTTTCTCCTCTTCGGATGCAAATATCTCTGCCAAATCTGCACATTGGGAGATCGTCTCTTACAAATTTCATACTAATTAAATTTGTGATCGATTTCGACTAGCTTGCCCAAAATCTGAGAGCATCCACTGGGAAACCTCCCTTATTAGTTAGATAACATTTTTTTCACTTTAACAAAACTACACAACCTGCAGCATTGTTATTGGGCCTCATATTTTTTAAGTGAAGAATCGACGCACATAAAGTTAAACTTTTACATTATCCTCCCCCGTGTTGGCAAACGTCGGAGAGATGATGTCTTCTCTTTTTTTGGCACTAAACTAAACGCAAACAGTTCCAACGACGACGGTGTAGGCAGACGACGACATCGAGAAAAGCAAAGTAGATCGAAACACGATTGAAATTCGACGGCCTGTTTCCAACGATCATCAGATTGAATCAGAATCAGGCTTGTTGGTTTGGTTACGTTCGTCTGGCGACGACGACGACCGGCTCTGTTTCCATTTTGGGGTAAATGCCAAATAACAGAAAATTGGAGAACGGGCCAGAAGCCAAAAAGTAAAAGCAAAATAACAAGTTTCCAATTTTAAAACATTTCGGGATTATATTCCGTCACGTGTGGGTTGGTGATGAGATGACCTGGGAGATACTTTGGTGCAGAAGTTGGGCTAGAAAGCAACACACGTTACAGTGCCCGCGGAAGCGTGGGAGCAATGTCCCCACGGTTATTCGAAGTCATCATCTCCCCATGTTATACAAACCCCTCCCCTATCCTGCAATGTTAATGTCCCCACAGTTTCCGCGGCCACTGAAACGTCACACTTCACAAGTTGCAAAAATTCTTGTAGAATGCCACCGATTTGAAGATTTATTTCGCTCGAATTACGCATTTTTCGGGGGACTAATCATGATACCGCATACGGATGATGGACTCAGCCTCGAAGCAAACACTTGTTCGTTGAGTATGATATTCGTAAGAAGCCCGATAATAAAATTGAGTGAGTGAGTGAGAGAGTGAGTGGCTGAGCTGATGGAGAAAGTCGAGAGATTTAAGACTGACGAGAAGGGGGAAACAAGATTTGGAAAGTCTGGAGTTGTCGTGAGATTTTGATTCTTCCGTCAGTCAACGTCAAGAAGGCTCTTTTCTGCTTCGTTACATTATATCAAAATCATCCAACCAAGATTTGCTTAATATTATTCTGATACCGCGGAAAAGAAGGAGGGAAAAGAAGAATCCAATCTAAGCAGATAGGTTTTAGATTGGAGAAAGTTTTGAAAAATGTCCACATAAGGAAGTACTTATACTTATACACTCTTATAAATCCGGGATTAAGTTAATACCGGTAGTGGTATTGAAAGTAATATTGTGTAGCACACTGTTAAAATCTTGAAGAGTCAGATATGTACTCCGTACTGGTATTTATTTGGTAATAACTTACTACCGGATTGGTAGTAGTTTGTTTTTGAGTGGTAAATTTTTCATTACCACAACATTGCTAAGCTGTAATGCCGATAAAGTCATATATGTACTCTGGTCAGTAATAATTGAATACTAGGTTTCTAAGAATGTTCGGTATTAAAGTTTTACCCCATTGGTAACAAAATGTTATGGGCGCTTATGCATAATTTTAATACCAAGCCGTAGTAACTTTAATATCGAAATCAATAATACCAGATTTCCAGATTTTTAACAGTGTACGTCCAAAATAATCCCCACCCAGCTTTCCATACCGCACAGATATTTAACTTATTGTTGGAAAGCGTCGGACGGAAAGAAATGTATTTTCGTCATGATTAAAAGCATTTTTATATCGTTTTTTATTTTTATTTGTTGCTGTTACTCTTCTCCTACTTGAGATTTATTTGTTGTTTCAAATCCAAAGGAGAAAAGGGGCCGCTATTATTCCACCCTTTTTCTACATCTCTTTTGCTTTCTCTCCTTTCATGAGACACACACAGGGAGAAAGTAAATGAGACAAAATGGAGAAAAAAGAAGAGAGCAAGCAAATACTGTCAATGGAGGTGTTCCAGCGGATGCTCTCCGATTTTGAGCAAACTAGTGGAAATCGATCGCAAATTTAGTAAGAAATTCGCAAAAGTCACAATCTCCCAATGCGCAAATTTGGCAGAAATATTTGCATCCGAAGAGGAGAAAACGCGCCCAAACCTTGAAAAATTTTACACTTTACAAATTTAATTCGCGATTTCTCCTCTTTGGATGCAAATATCTCCGCAAAACCTGCGCAATAGGATATGGTACAATTTGCAAATTTCATTCTAATTATATTTGCACTCAATTGACACTAGTTTGCTCAAAATCGGAGAGCATCCACTGGGCCACCTCCACTGTGAGCCGTCGTAAAATGGCTTTCTCTGGAGGAAAGTAGAGGGGAAAGAAGTGGAAGTGTGAGTAAGTGCCATGTGCCAGTGTGGCTGCATTTGGATTGTTTTGATGTTTCGGACGTGACATCCTCCGCCATCGTTGGACTTGCGAATTGTTCACATTCGCCAAAGGGTCAGTACATGCACTAGCAGAGAAAGTAAGTAAGTAAGGCCTAATGGGAAATGTGTTTTGAATACAATTTCACTTTTCAGAGTGCAAAGTTGCGAGTTTTGGTTAAACCGGTTCACAGTCTCACTTCGCTGGTTGCATCTTTCGTGACATGTTTGCCGGAAATCGTGCATATATATTTCTACTAAAAATTCCTGTGTACCACTTTCTCCCGTGTGGACTATATGTACTACACTTTAAATGACACTAAAAATATTTTTTTTTGCAAATTTTGACGCCGAATCAGTTTAATTTATAAAAAGTTCGATGTATAAAGTCAAAAAGATATTTTTAGCTTGTTTGCTTGTTTTTAGCTTTTTGTATTTGAAATATAATTCTACATTCATTTTATCCGGATTTTTATCAAATTTGAAATATTTGAAGAAAAATTAGTACAAAATGCACGTGTTGATTAATTTTATCAGTGTTTTACCAGGGCGCATAAACTTTTTGTTGTCCGTGGTTTCTCTTAAGGGGGTGATGCAGGGATGAGCATTTTTTCTAAAAAATTAAAAAATTAAAAGTTCGGGAATTGCATGCAATTTTCCCATGAATGTGGTTGTGTTTTAAAGTGTGTTTTACACTTTAAATCACACTAAAAATATTTTGCATATTGAAATTCGCAAATTGTTTTTTTTTAAATTTCGAAGTCGAATCAGTTTAATTTAGAAATATTTCAATTTTAGAAGTCCTGAAGATTTTTGATCTTTTTGAAATGTAATTAAATGTAATTCATTTATCCAGATTTTGATCAAACTTGAAACATTTGAAGCAAAATTAATACAAAATGTGTGGCTTGATAAATTTTATTAGTGTTTTACACTTTAAAGCGCATTACAAAGTTTTTTTTGCATATTTAAATTCGTAATTTTTTTCCTAATTTAGACGCCGAATCAGCTTAATTTAGAAATAGTTAAATATCATAAATCACGAAGATTTTTGGGTCGTAAATAATGCTATATAAAATTTACTAGAATTTTTATAACGCTTGAAATATTTAAAGAAAAAATTAATGCAAAATAAACGTCTTGATCAATTTTATCAATATTTTACACTTTAAATCACACTAAAAAGAGTTCGCATATTGTAATTCGCAAATTGTTTTTTTTTGCAAATTTCGAACCAAAGTTTGACATTCACTTACATCTACTCCTTCAAACTGCACTTTCTTTCTAATCAATTTCTTTCTACCCAAGAGCGAAACTCATTACGGGAAAAAAAACATGCTCAAAGCTCTTTACGAATAAGTTGCATGCACTCTTAGAAAATTCAATATCTTTTCATGAAGTAAAATGGAACGTTATGCGGTTTAAAGTAAACCTCACTTGATTCGAAGTAAAATGGTCAACTTCATTCAAAGTAATGACAAAACTCACCAAATGTGAAGTAAAACCACTATTTTCTAAACCATAAAGTAAGCGATTATACCATTTAGAGTAAGCAAACCCCATTTAGGATATTCTTCAGACGCTGACTTTTCCCTCGCTCTCATTACAACTCGCAGCTCAGCCAGTCAGTGCTGGTTAGTTAAATTGATAGTTAATTAATTAGTTAGTTAACTCATAAGCAAATAATGGAGGAAACGAGAAGGTTATTGCAACAATTTGGACGGGGACGCTGAAGGGTAAGAAATTCGCACAATTTGCATAATTTATACACAAATTTAATTTACATTGCGTTTAATTTTTTATTTTAATTGTCTTTAAACAGATGACGATATTACGGACGAGACTCTGTTAATAATTTCAGGAGAAAATTGTCAGGTTTTCTAGGTCATTTTAGGTCGGCTTTGGAATGCATTGTACAATTTGTGAGAACTTGGTATATCTTTGTTTTAAGTGCAAAACTAATTTTAAACCTTTAGTATAACATTAAAAAAATTATCTTAAGTTAATAGGGTCCAGCGTTTACAAATATCCTCACTAGTGGTTCATAATAAGGGTAATTTGTAATGCAATGTTGAATGTGAAATAAAATATATTATTAAAGTACTAATACTGCGGCTACGCTTAAGTAACTTTTCCTGGGGTCATCAAAGCAAGAAAGTAAAGTCATAATCAACGCGATTTAGGGTTACGGTCGTTACCCTATTGGGCGCTCAGTTACCCTGTGAATATTGTTACAGGGTAAAATGGCTTACTTTGTGGCCGAGAGAGAGCGATTCGCTATAAGTGGGGTAGTGGCACTTTGGAAGTTATATCGAGTTATATTTTACGTCATATAAAGTATGGATTTCTAAGAGTGTGTGAAAGTATGTAAGTTGAGTAAGAAAAGTTGACCCAAAAGTAGCCAAAAAAGTACTAAAAAGTGCACTTTTTTCCCTCACTCGTACACCCATACATACATCTTCCACTGCTTTGGCCTAATGTGATGTGGCTATATATTTCCGGCTGTCAATGAGCCTCCACCAGTCGGAGCGATCTTTCCACCATCCTCGCATCTCGTGTCTGTCTGTTGACACAGGCTTAGCAAGTAACTCGACCGATTTGGACCAAATCCGCCATCAGAGAAGAAGAACTTTCGACTTTTCGTCGATGAGAAATCTTCCCCTCTCAACTTTGACTTTCTTCTAACTAAGCTATTTCTTCTCTCCTTTGAAGATGTAAGCAAGCAGACGAACGAATTTGGTGAAACCAAATCAGACTTTTCATTTAAAGGCTTCACTTTCGTTCTAATTTCTACAAATTCCTATCACGTTCCGTCCATTTCCCGACTCTCGAATCTTCCTAGAGAGAGAGAAAGCTTCCTCGAGTTTAAGTGCGGACGGATGATGTGGGATGGATGGTCTTATTTTATCCTCGCCGTAAATTCTGTCAAGGTGTGTCTTCAGAATCTGCTAAACTTACAGATCAACTCGGTTTGCGGGATTGTCTCACATTCCTGCACACTCCATTTATTGACGAAATTGATGATTCAAGTGTGTAGTAAATGGACTCTGGCGTAGTTGTCATGTCAGTGGCTTATTTGAGAATCTTTGCAAGTGTTTCGGGTGAAAGTAACCACGTGCAAGAAATAGAGGGGAGAAAGCGGTTTTTTGCGGGTGTTTCGACCTGCAAGAAATGCAAGGGGCAAGAAACTACGCCCCTCTGCTATACTTCATACGGCGCGTGGCTGGATGGCGCACATTTCTTTCACTTTCTCCCAGTTTCTTGCACCTCACATTTCTTGCAAGTCAAAACAGCTGCAAATAATCACTTGCAAGAAATACCCACAAAAAATGGTTTCTTGCAGCTATTTTGACCTGCAAGAAATGTACGGCGCAAGAAACTACGGCCCGCCGCTATTCTTCATGCGCGTGGCTCGATAGCGCATGTTTCTTGTACTTTCTCCCAGATTCTTGCACCTCACATTTCTTGCTTTCCAGTGCAAGAAATGTAATAAACCCATAAGAAACGAAACACTGCATGGTTGTCAGTGGCGTGGCGTCAGATGTGATGTGTTTGTGGCTTATTTGAGAATCTTTGGTTAGAATAAACAAGTTAAGTACGTACGTAACGTAACATAACTGCTGGAGATTCGGATGTGAGTAGTAAATTGTCCGATTGCAAATATGTATGTATGCCTCGGCTAAATCGATAAGCCGTCTAGACAAATATATAATTCAGTTATCCGTGTGTAATCCAATTTCTCACCTCCATATCTTTTTTCAGGTCTTTTATTCCACCGAGTAATTCTCAGTTCTGGATCGGCATCTTCCCCCTTGGCATCCGATCTTTCTAATGGACCCGAACTCAGCAAACGCTTCGCACAAAGGGTTCGGTAAGTGAGGTGTTTAATCTAGTTAAATCTCATTTATGAAATTATAATTAGTTTTGAAGGGAATAAAAAATTACAAAATTATAATCAACAGTTTTGAAGGAATTAAAAAAATGCAAAATGTCATTGAACAATTGTGAAGAAATTTTTACAAACATACAAAATGTGAACCACAATTTTGAAGGAATTTTTTAAAAAATTACAAATTTTGAATAAACAGTTTTTCAAGAATTTAAAAATAGCTACAGAAGTTTAGAAGTAATCAACAGTTTTGAAGGAATTAAAAAAGTTACCAAATTATAATTAACAGTTTTGCAAGAAGTAACAAAAATTCAAACTTAGAATCAACAGTTTTGAAGGAATTAAAAAAATTACCAAATTATAACCAACAATTTATCAGGATTAAAAAAATTAAAAAATTATAATCATAAGTTTTTCATGAATTTAACAAAAAATCTAAACTTTCTCCTTTCCCTCGCAGGTGTCCCCCTGAACCTTCCTCGACAATGTTGGAGTGCCTGAGAGAAGTGCCTGTGCGACAGTTTCTTGACTCTGAGGTAGGTATTTTCACATCAAAGTCCTTCACTCCCTTCTTCCCATATCGGCTACATGTCAGTTCGAAATTCGATATGGATTTAAAAGTGAAATCTACACGCAAAATTCCTCTCTCTCTCTCTCTCCAAAAAAGGTCTCCTGACTTTCACCCATCCGTTTGAAGTGTGTGGAATGCTGAATTTTATGCAGTCCATCTTTTATATTACATTTTATTGCGTCCCATTCCTCTCTCTTACTCGCTCACCATGTAGGACACAAAATTCCATTTAAATAATGGAACATACTGGATAAATATTTTCATGGTATGAGTTTTATACGTGGCTGTTTTTTTCGGAGAAAGCAATTTTTTTATTACATTGCCCTGCTTTCTTCTTTATAAGTGCATACAAACTAGTGGGTACTTACCCTTTGCACAAATTTTATTAGAAAATGGGTTTATCACACATTAAAAGATTGTTACGTCTTGTACATAAATTTCTCATAATCATCGTCGTCGTCTCATGTTGCATGGTAAACTGGGTAGGACAAGGCAAATTGAAAGACTTGTAATAAGGCAGTGTTATAAGGAGAGGGCGGATATGTATTTATTTTCAAGTTTTTCTTTTGATGACGACGGATGGTCAAACTTTATGGGTGTGTTCGTTAACTTTCATAATTTCCATATATTGCTACACATTTAATTCTAGGGTTTCAGAAATAAATTTGTAAATATTTTCGCTATTATTTGAAAATTACGCAAAATTTTGAAGATACTTTGTTTAATACGCACATTTTGTGAATATCTCAACGATACGAGACAAAATTATTTTGCTCAAAGAAACTCGTCTACAAAAAATGCAGAGTATTAAACCCAGAAATACAAATTTTGCAAAACTTGTATTTTAGGTATCAAAATACAGATTCGGTAAATTAGCCGGATTAGATAGTTGTTTCTTAAATATTAAAATATTAAATAGTAAATATTAAAATACATATTTCAGTGAATTTTCGTAAATACATAAATATCCACGCTCTAATTATTAGTTGCAAATCGTGCAAAAAATTGTATCGTGTTCAGCAATAGACATATTAGGCAGAAATACTGCGAAAATTTGTATTTTCTTTGGCGTACACATTTCGTAAATATTTTGTCATTTTTCCCTAAATATTAAATACATATTTCACCTCTTTTTCCTAAATACATATCCACCCCCTGGTTATTAGGGCTTGTTAAGAAGATCCGCTCTTGGTTAGTTTAGTGTCCTCGGTGTTTATGGGAGCAGTCGTAGTAAATACTGGTCGTGAGCCCGAGTCGAGATATATTATTCATAAATATTGCCGTGTAAATTATTCATACACAGTTTTCAATGCATTCCATTTCGTTCGGAGGAGGCATTACAGCTTACCAGAGCGGATTTATGTTTTCGTTTATTGGTTCCGTGGTTCTTCCAACCGTGTAGTCGAGATGGTTACCATGTGGTCTGGTCGGATGGAGCGTTACTGAGGCAGAATTGCTCCCACTTTTGCATATGTACAGCGTGGTCCTCGAGTTCATTGCGAGTAATTTCATGTAGGTCAACTTCATCTCGAGCGACGAAATGGGAGCATTATTGGATCCGAAAATGGTACTCTTTTCACATCTGAGCTCCACATCCATACATTATTATGGTCGAGCAGGAGTACAGCAGTGGCATGAACATGGTTACACATTGGCAAGTTAATTGTGCTTGAAATCAAGGACTATTAATTTAATGGAGCTTCGAAAGCAATGGTCACTACTGCCCTGTCATTAATTTTACAAGGACTATTATTATACATAAATTTGAGGCTACATATCCGTTCAGCCAAGTGGCCGCGGAAGCTGTGGGGACATGTGGGGACATTAACATTGTAGGATAGGGGGAGGGAGGGGTTTGTATAGCATGGGCAGATGATGGGGCATCGAATAATCGTAAGGAACATCCCCGCGGCTTCTGAGAGAAATTTGGTAAAAGGAGAAGGACAACTCATTGTCAGTGGCCGCGGAAGCCGTGGGGACATCTGGGGACTTTAACATTGTATAATAGGGGGGAGGGGTTTATATAACCTGGGGAGATGACGGGGACATCAATAACCGTGGGCACATTGTCCATCGGTCCCCACACTTTCACCCGCGGCCACTGCATCCACACCCATAATTTGTCGTATCTGCCTCATAATAAAGTTTTACTAACCATTTTTTTCTCTTCTCTTCTTGCCCAGTTATGGAGCTTATTTGGACCAACTGGAGACGGGATCGTGGTGAAGAATGAGGTTCCTTCGGACAATCTAATAATGAACAAGGCATCTCATTATCCCCTTCTGTTCGGCGTGGTGAAAGTGGAAGCCCTGCCCAGTCTGAGCAATCACGATGCGTCCTACGGAATGGAAAACGAGCGGAGACGAGAACTTCTTAGGTTGTTCATTAACAAGTATTACAGGTTGGTGGACCGTTTCATGTGCTTATCTCTCATCTTATCTGTGCTATAGTATATAGACCAGTTTGCTTGCTTATATTTGGTCTTCCGTCCTTGGATAATTTGTAATTCCAATTCGCAATTTGGCCAGGGGAACATGGAAACTCGTTTTGGGTCGGGATCTTGCCTGATTGCGTTCAAAATTAAGCTATTGACTTGCAAATAATTATCAATTATAGAAATCTCATTATTCCCCAGGCTCATAAGGTCACCTAGCTTTTGAAACGGAGTAATTAAGGAAATTAAGAGGAAATAGAGACCACTACATCAGTATTGCACAACTAAATAACTATGTTTCCAGGCAGCAAGAGTCCTGATTGGACTAGTTTCTAATTATTATGCACCGAGTGGACGGACGACGAAATGCTTTGATGAGTCGAGTGGAACTACACAGTTGTTGTTCTGACTTCATTAAAATGTTGTTTCCCTTTGATGGCAATGGTACTCGAGTCTTTGTACGGCTACGTAACAGCAAATCTTGTTTGTTTTATTTTTTAATTTTTGTCATTGCTTTTGGTATTATGTAAGTACACTCTTAGAAAACTGGTGTTAAATCATTACTGACCGGAGTATATATGTGTATGAAGTAATGTTGTCGTAATGATGGATTTACTACTCAGAAACAGACTATTACCAATCTGGGAGAAAGTTATTACCAAATCAATACCAGTACGGAGTGTATGCACTCTTAGAAAACTGACCGGTGTTAAATCATTACTGACCGGAGCACATATATTTATGACTCTACCAGCACTGGTAATTACGGGAACTACCGTTTAGTAATTTTGTGGCAATGAAAAATTTACCACTCAGAAACAAACTCCCACCAATCCGGTAGGAAGTTATCACCAGATCAATACCAGTACGGAGGGTATATCTGATTCTACCAGATTTTTAACAGTGTATGATTTTATGTAAGAAAATAATTCATTTTGTGTACTTTCACCTTCGCAGGTTTCATCGTAACGAAATTCTCGCGGGTGCAATTCACGAGTATACAGGTGATGATAAACACTTTTATTTTGCATGCGTGACACCATCCGGATCCTGATAAGGTGAAAAATGTGAACATTGTGTCGTCGTTATTGTTGGCAGACTGGGAGAAACCGGTTCAACATCCGCAAAATGTCCGTGAAGAAACTCTTGACGCTTTGGGCGACGCTCAAGTAAGTTTTGTTTCTTCTTCTCGCTCGCTGCAGGGGAAGTTTATCGTATTCCGTGCAATTTATGAATATGGAAATCACCTTCGCCTTTGAGTGTTTCATTATCGCATTAATTTCTGCGCATACAAGTTTTACTTCCATCATTTATTCCTCTCCGAAGTGCGTACCTTCCTTCGAGAAGGGTTTCGTTTTGGAAGTCCAAAACTATGGCTGGACATCGTCTAAATGCATCAAAAACTGTCCAAAATACGTTTTGCAAATGTCCAAAAGCGTCCAACATTGGAAAATGGGGCAAAATGTTATAAGTACTTAGATAAATAGATAGATTTATTTATTTCTCATCTGATATGGCCGAGGCCCTCATCATTACAAATTACAGAGTTGTACATATGTGCAAATGTAGATAACCAAATAGGTAGGTAGTCAGAGGAATGGAGGAAAAACCTAACTATGGTGGAGAGTTAGGAAAACCTCCATCACCTCTGGGAATGTGGCCCAGAGGTCCATTCGGCTCTGACTACCTGGACACCAGATAGGACAATGAATGATAGAGATCATAGGTAGATTCCATGAGATAGTGGTGATATCCAAATGAGGACGGCGTCGTGACGGCGGAAGCATGATGAGTGAAGGTTGTTGGGCGGGGCGTCCACGGACCACGAACTACCTTAGCACCCTCTCGGGCACGGGCTACGTGTCCCCTTCACGGTCACACAGTGTGACCAGGGCCGAGTGACACTACCCACTTGCCCCTTCACCCCTCACAGCACAACCGGGTCATGGGACCCCCGTAGGCCCGACTACGCTGCCCACCGCCATGCACGACCCCGTCCTCACTCTAACACCAACCACCCCCCACAGTCACCACCCCGACATACCAAACAATGACCTACCTGGGGGAGTCCTCCATGGCGTAGATCCTCCTGTGCACCGGGTCCGGCGAATCCATCTTCGCCTGATGGCTCAGCTTGTCGTTGCTGGGACGGGTGTGGCAGGGGGTGTCACCAGGCACGCAGGTGGGGGGTGTGAGTGGACGAGGCTCACATGGCGAAAAGCCTGGGACACACTTCACTTGCCCTGGCACACCCGCGACCCAGATGGAAGAGAGAGAATCCAGTTGCAGAGCGAGAGAGAGACACGTCGTGCACGGTTGGAAGCCAAGGAGGATCTGTTATAAGTACTTTATTAACGACTTTTTTGTAAATCGATGCACTGCTATGTAATTACCTAATAATTTTGAAAATTTTGGTGTATGTGAAATATGCAAGTATCAAATGAAACAAATTTAGAAATTTGGAAAAACTTAAAAGTTTTTCAAAATTTGACAGAATTGTCTTCACATGTTTTCTTACGAGAAATTGGGAAATTTTCTAAACCATGCCGTATTACCCAACAAAATGCTCAAAATTAACACGAGATTACATATGCGTCATCGGTTTATTGAAATACGCAATAATGAAGAACTTGCACCATTTTGCTCTATTTTCTATTTTGGACAATTTTTGGAATTTTTTGACATTTCCGAAGTCCAAAACTTGGTCTCCAAAACTAGTTAAAACGGTTTTGCACCACTGTCTTCCACAGTGGTTAAAATAACGAGCGAAACCCTGCCTTCGATCCTATCCATTCTCCAGTCTCCGAATGAATAGCCCATGCTTTACAACTCCCATAATAACTCCCCTCCTCCTCACTTAGAATTTGAGATGAAATAACTAATTTGTGAAATATTTACATCTCTCATACCTACTTTTACTGCCCCCCAACTCGTACATATATACTTGAAGAAGTAACGTTATACCATAGCACAGAAGCAATCCTGTTAAACACCAGTTTAACTTTGGGAATGGCTCTACTTTCGCAGTTAAGGAAGTCATTTCATGATATTAAAAAGTTGATCGTGACGAGATGCGCGCCGCATATGGCGAACGCGTCCAGCCAGATTTGTTTTTCCCGAGAAAAAAACGCCCGACTGACAACTACTTAAATATTTTCTAAAGAAATCTTCTAAAAAATGGTAATTTTTTTATTTCTTCAGGTGGTCGCCCCCATGACCAAAGTGGGTGACTTGCACTCACAATCTTCCCGAAGTCGAGCTTACGCCTATGTGTTTGAGTACCAGTCCAAATCCTCGGATTACCAACAGGTAAAAAACAATTTATTTATCGTGGCCCGTGGCACATTTGTCTTGTCACATTTACCTTGCCCCACTTTGCAACGTGGCTAAACACAAAAATGCTAATATATTCATACCCTCTACTCGAACGTGACTCGATGTAAAGGAGAAAGTTCACACGGCATCCATCAGTGGCCGCGGAAGCTTGAGGGGACAATGTTCCCACGATTATTCGATGTCCCCATCATCTCCCCATGTTATTCAAACCCCTCCCTCCCCTATCCTGCAATGTTATTGTTCCCCAGATGTCCCCACGGCTTCCGCGGCCACTGACCACACCGTTTATAACATAATATCAACCCGGCACAAAGGAAAGTGCTGCATATAAATAAGTTGGCTACATACATGCTAAATAAATATGCCATACTAAAGAAAACAAGTGCCCTACGCGTGCAAGAAAGAAAGCGAATGATGTGAAATGTAGAAAAGAAAATGGTTCTTGTTCTTTGTTCCGCTTATTTACGTAGCTGTGTGAGAGCCCATAGTTTGTTGAGCACGACGTCATTACGCCGCACACTAAATACAATTGTATTGCATATTGGGTTGAATCCATGGGGAGGGGTGGGTTCTTTTTTCTTTGTGTTTATTGGTTAATAACACAGCGGCCAAGTTCCGCTAGGAAGAGATCTTTTTGTCCCGATATAAATAAATAGACTAACAATTGGGGGTGCAAACCATGTTCAAGCCAGATTATTTTTTATCATTTGAGTTTGAGAGACTAACCCTTTAAGAGCAACATTTAGTACATTTGCACAGATGTGCAAAAATTCGCAGCGTTACGGGCGCTGCAAGTTCGCAAAAACTCTACGTTTTCAAGCGGATCCTGCGCCTTGCGGTAGTAACCGGGCTATTTCGCGAACTTGCAGCGCCCATAACTTGCTGAATTTTGCACATTTGCGCAAGTCCCAAACTAAATGCTATTTCTAAAAGACTGCTCTCTCAAACGGGATGGTCAAAAAATAATCTGGGTCGAACATGGTTTGCGTCCCCATTATAAGTAAATATTTCCCAGAATAGCCTGCATCCACGACATGACCAATATTATTAGCAGAGAGGACAAGATCAGAATTCATGATGAGAGAAAGTCCCCCTATTTCACGAATATTATTAGATGAATGTCAAGAAAATAGAGTATTTAAAAAAGTTGCACTTGTAGCAATTTTTTCTTACTGGACCCATCAATACGAATCAACTCGTCTTATTTTGCTTTTTCTTTTCCCCGCAGCGACTTGGCTGCATACATGGAGAAGATCTCGGATATGTGTTCGGAGTACCGCTCTTCTTTTACGACTATGACTCTGCTGACTCGTCCGGGATGATGAGGACTGACATTAGCGGTGGTGGTGATTATGTAGCTGCACCGATAGACGCGTCCTCGGAGAAAGTTAAGGCTGCCACCAGTGGAGACGAGAAGCCAGGCGAGTTGGGCTACTTCACGGGGAACTATACCTGGTACGAGGTCCAACTTTCACTCACGGTATGATAAAATCATATTAATTAAATGTTTCCTAAACAAATGTGAAAATATTACGTAATTCTATTAATCGTGCAGGTTATGAGACTTTGGGCGAATTTTGTACGGGTCGGGTAAGCCAAGAAAAAAAATTATGTTGCTAAATAGTTTAACAAGTTGGTTATGTAACGTGGCAAAAAAAGTGAGGGTGCCGTGCACTGTAAGAAAACAACAAGTTATATAATAATTTTTAATGACATGTCACCACTATTTTGGAAAAGCGCAGCAAGCACCAAACTGCTAGAGTGTGACATCTTTTCATTTATAGTTGAGCAGTGATAACAGTGTAACTTCTGACTGATAAGGGAATCTTGAGTACTGTCTCATCTCGATTTAATATATTATAGTCTTAATTGATACACAATTTAGTGTAGGTTAAACTTTGTCATAGAAGATACGGTAGAAAATCACGTTTTCGCGAAATATTTGGCGAAAGCTGGACCAGAACGTGCAATTTTTCAAATCCTTTTGCATAGCCAACAGCGTTCGGAGATATGAAAGAAATTTATAAATTATACATCCTTAAGTAATTTCGTGCTGTTGACTAGTATGAAAAAAAAGTGATGCAAAAATTTACATTTCTTTTTTAAATGAAAAAATCCGCAAAACTTCGTAAATTTGAATCTCATCGTTTTTTGAAATTTTAACAAAATTTAAATGTCTTCTTTTATGCACTACAAAAAAGTTTTTAAGAAATCAAATTTTTATCTTATAGTGACAAAATGGGTGGAAATTTTCAAAATTGGACAATATTTCACGGGAATAAAATAACATGAATGCTAATCTATTTTAGATGTTTTTCAAAACTGTTCGCTATATTTATTTTCAATTTTTTTCTGAATTAAAGCAAAAATGTGACATTACTTAAGGTTCCCTTGTGACCAAGCCTTTTACCTGACCTATAGCCGACCCTCTCTCTCTCCACACATCCTCCGACTCTACGATTTAATAAGTCTCACACCAACGCGAGAGTAATTTATTATACAAGTTGTAAAGAGAAAAGTTGTAACAAACAAGGAGATAAAAGATTCACCTGAACTGCAAAAAAATCCTTAGATTCCGCACAAGCAATAAGAATAACTTCAATTTTTCCTTGACGTTTCTTTCTTCATGGAAAATCTACCAACCAAGCAGCAGTAGGCACCACACAAAATATTGAAAGAAAGTTCGTGACCAGTGGCCGCGCAAGTGTGGGGACAAACTCCCCACGGTTATTCGATGTCCGCATCATATGATATAAACCCCTCCCTCCCCTATCCCACAATGTTAATGTCCCCACACCTTCCGCGGCCACTGTTCGAGACGATAGTGCGTAGCAGTAACCGACTGACTTTCTCTTTTCCCCAAAAACTATCTCTCTCCATCTTAACGTATCTCTCTCCCTCCGTTTAGTTTCGATTTAGCTTATGCTACTTTATTGAAGCAATACTTTCTTGTTTGAACAGTTTTTACTTACTTTAACTAAGGAAATGGAGGAGGATTTGGAATGGGAGAGAAATTTCCAAAGTTGTTGGCGAGATAAATAGAGCAAGAAATTCTGGACTGACTTTATCTTTGTAGGATCAGCTTTGAAAAAGGTTGTGGTGTTTGTGGTCTAGTGTAGTATACAGTATGCATACATACATATTTAACTCACTATAAGCCGAACATGCTCTTTTAGCAGTCTGTAAAATTACTTTAGTCACATAATTTTCATTTTACTTACCCTAAATCTGCCGACATGTAAATAAAATTAGGAATGTTTTCTGGGTCCAACATGCATACATACATATTTATGGTTTTACATACGACTTTTAGCCACCTACTTAATTTGCATACATACATATAAACGTATTAAATGAATCACTACTCAGGGAATTTGTGTGTGTGTGTGTACAGTTCGTTTAATCGAATTAACAATGTATGTCCTCCGTCTTCATTTCAGAAATCCAAACGGGGATTTGAAGTCCCAGATGAGATCTCAAATAAAAGGAGGAAGTCGAACCGCCCAACAGACGCCGTTAGGGAACGTGGAAACCGGAACCGGAGGCAGTCACCGCAACTTTGGTGGTGGTGGCGGCGGTATCAGCCCCGGTGGACATGTCCACGATGTTGTCGGAGGCGAAGGCGGTGGTGAGGCTGACTTTTCAGGAGGTGGAGGCCCACCAGACAATCGATCAGGTCACAAGAAGAAGCACCAAGGAAGCAGTATGACCGACCAGCAGTTGCCTGAGCCCATCGCGGTGGAGTGGCTTCAGTACGACTCCCTTGACAAAAAGTACCTCGTTCTAGGTAACGTTTTTAAGAAGAAGGCTATGGACATAATTATTTACTAACGAACCTCACGTCCACCCAGCAGCATCATAAGTTGCATGCAGTGGCAGCGGAAGGGTGTGGGGACAGAGGGACAGTGACCCTACTGAAATTTAGCAAAAGCGTATCATTCCTAGATTATGGTTTATATTTTAAAATTAGACTCTTTTTTGAATGCGTTTCTTATGAAGGAAAGGGTTTGATTATAAAATACAAACGTTAAGTCCCCCCTCCTTCTATTCCATAATGTCCCCCTATGTCCCCACAACTTCCGCTGCCACTGAAATTGTGCCGTTGAAGCGTGGGGACAGAGGGACAATGTCCCCACGATTATTCGATGTCCCATCACCTGTCCATGTTATACAAACCCTCCCCTAGCCTACAATGTTAACGTCCCCAGATGTCCCCACAGCTTCCGCGGCCCTTGATTGCACATGCTACTCCCAACTAATTAAAAAGTGAGGGAAGGAAAAAAATTTCTCCCTAACTCATCTTCCTCTATGCGTACCTAGCTCTATCATCTTTTTCTGCCATGTGTATCTAGCAGGAGGCCAGGCCATGTCTAAAAAAGTGCCTTTATTATCCACCCAAAACCCGCAAGAAGACCAACAACTTTTCCTAAACGAGGAGAGAGAGAGGGAGAGGGCTTACTTATAAATTACAGCTTTTTCACTCACATGGCAAACTTTCCCCCTTTCCGGATCATACATGTATGTACATGAAATCCCCAGTGAATGTGTCATGTCCTACTTTCACCCGCACACAAATACGAACACACACACGTCCGCCACATACGCGAACTACCAAGTTTATAAATAATTGCTTATGTATCTGCCTGCCTTTTCTTAATTTTTTCTTCTTCTTTGATAATACCGGCAGATCTGCGTCCAAGGATGAAATCTCATTATAGATCGCACAAATTGTCCTTCTGGCTTCACTTGGTGCCAGACTACCAGAAGAATGAGGAAGGTAAATTAAAGTTCGGTTGTGTTGTATACTCTTAGAAAACTGGTATTAAATCATTACTGACCAGAAGCACATATGTACATATGTGACACTACCGGCACTGGTAATAACGGGTATTACCAGTGCAGTAATGTTTTGGTACTAACAAATTTACTGCTCAGAAACAAACTACTACCAATCCGGTAGAAAGTTATTACCAAATCAGTACGGAGTATATATCTGACTATTCCAGATTTTTGACAGTACAATTTAGTACAGTAAATTTAAGCTTTCAATAATTTCCGAAAAATGCTCGAAAATGTTCCCTCAATTTGATGGAAAATGCGTTTGAATGTTTGCATCATAAATAGAACCCACGAAATACTGCATTTACTGCATTTTAAGCACATATAACATTATTCTACATCTAATCCAATTTTGCAGGCACCCTCATCACGAGTATGCACCACGGCCTAATTTTCTCCAACGTGAGCAGCAAACTCCATAACGATCCTCACCAACCCGCCGCTAACAACAACAACAATGATCCGGTGCAAAGTTCTGGGGAGAATTTATCAAAAGTATCTGTGATCCCGACCGTGTTCGCTTCCGGATTGTATGATTTGTCGCAGGGAAGTCAGAGCAGCAGCAGCAATGTTGCTCACCACCAAACTCGACCTCATAACTCATCCAGCCCTAACACACCAAAATTATCACCGGAGCTTCCCCGAGGACGTATTGATCACCAACAAGATCCAAAGGAACAACAAGATTCAGGTTACCATTCTTATTACCGACGTTCCTTATTTTTGTGTCGATATTTGTTTTTTTTTACAAAATTTGTGTTGACACTTGTGTAATTCCTTTCATCTCTTTTCTTTCATCTTTTTCACACACAAACAAACTCGCACGCAATCTTGTGCAGAGAGAAACCACCACGAACACAGAACACAGATAACTTTGTGGGACCTACCAACTAGCACCTCGAGGCGATCGAGAAAGTGAGATGACTTTACTTGACTCGAGAGTTTGAGGACCAAACCCATTTTAAAATTTTCTCTCAAAACAAGAGAAACAAGTTTACAACTTTTTTTTCCTCTGTTATTTATGTATGTTGCTGATACTGGTTGGTTGGTTGGTGGGAGGGTGGGTGGCAGGGTTTCGGGTGAAAGTAACCACGTGCAAGAAATAAGGGGGAGAAAGTGGGTTTTTGTGGGTGTTTTGACCGGCAAAAAATGCAAGGTGCACGAAATTACTTCCTGCCGCTATAAATACATCATACGGTTACATGGCGCACATTTCTCCCACTTTCTCCCACTTTCTTTCACCCCTCATTTCTCCCATTTCTTCCTTTCCACCCCGTCAAACCTAACAAACCTGCAAGACCCGCCACCCTGTCTTACGGCTTTGTTTCTTAAGACACTTCTGAAAACCTGCCTGGCCTGGCCCGACATGACACTTACTTTCTCCCCACGATGTGTGTGGGATGTCTGTAGTGAATTGATATTATTTCCGTTCCTTCCACCACCCTGACACTGAGAAATTTCTTTGATTTCTCTACACAGGAGAGACTCAGATTTCAAGCAGTGATGACGAGGAGGCGTCGACATTCGGATTTCAAACTTATTCCACCGCTCTGTCCGTGACAATAGGTATACGTCAAAGACATCCATATACATAAATACAGTAAATATCTATATCTGCTCACTTTCCAGCCATCGGCGTCTCCCTCCTCATCCTCAACATCTTGATTGTCGCCACATTTTATATCGAGAGGGGGAAACGTCTTAATGCGCTAAACCGATCCCACCCGTCAAACTCAGGAGGAGGATCAACCTCCCTGATGACGACGACCTCCCATCCCCACTTGGAACACCCCCTCCTCGTCCTCCAGCAGAAAAAGAGAGATCAAAGTTTACTACCAAGCACGACGAGCAGCCCGAGGCTTCCGCAGACATCATCATCATTGGGAATGCGATCTGCCACCTCGACTCTGAGAAGTTTAAAACGTCGCAAAGAAAATGGCGGGGTGGGTTTCGAGCTCGGCCTGCAAACGACTTTCTCCTCCTGTTATGTCGACATGGATATGGAGCAGAGGCCCACTTTCGAGTCATCCTTTCCTCGTAATGAACATCGTTGCGGCGGGAGTGGTGGCGGTGGCGGTGGTTGTATTGGTGGCACATCAGGTGCATTTGGTGATTTGCATTTACCCTCATCCTACGAGACAGGAGATGATGATGACGACGACGAGGAAAGACGAGGTCGACCCGCAGCAACATCTGCACCAACAGGGGAAAGAGAGCCTGGAAATTATGGAAATCATCCTATTAAAAGATACTCCGACTGTGGTGGTGGTGGTGGAGATAGGACGTGCACCATCATGAGTAGGAATCGTTCACGAAGGGCTATTAATGAACTTGGGATGTCAATCGATATGTCAGAGAGTGACACATGATAATTCTCACGATTTAAGAACATTGTACAATTGGAAAAATAAATTTATTTGTTAAAATGATGCATTTTAAGCTTACTTTATTATACCTGGTGACCCTTAATTAATTGTACAATTTATTAAGATACTTATCCTAATTAATGAAATTGGCTGCAGCTTCTCCACGTCCTCCGTCCTCGTCCTCTGACGATGTCAAATCGTCCTTCAACGATGGCAAATCGTCTTCGGACATAACATCGTGGGACGGCTCTTCGTCCGACGATGTCAGATCGGCCTTGGACGAAGTTCTGGCTGACATCTGCAAGCGTTTGATACGCCCAGTTTTGCTGAGTTTGTCAAACGGCTTTAGTTTACGACCTCTTTTCAAAGGGGTTTGTCCAGCAGCCTTGCGCTGTTTCCACAAACGCTTACGCACTGCTTCTGGGTGATCGGAGAGCTGATGTGCTGGTGTCAAGCCTGGTTTACGACCGGGTTTTCTACGTGGTTCTCCTGCCCGCTTCCGCTTGAGAGATTCGCGCTTTCTAATCGCGCCTGGGGTTGTGGAGAGCACTCGTGCCGATCTGTCACGCCTAATCACTCTCACTAACCCATCTATATTTACACAGGGACATGGGTTATGAACCTCACCTACTTCATGGCCCCTGCCGCAGGTGATGCAACTGTTTTGTCGGTACCAAGTGTTGCAACGGTCACGTGCAATCACAACACCGTCTTTCCCAATTGTGAGAATCAGATAGCGGGAATGATCTGATGTGATTGGAGGATCATCTGTGAGATCAACCCGGCATTGCAAGCCGGGTGGTAATCGAACCACATCGTAATCCAGCATTCTACTGATCTGACCTGTGAACTCACGAGTCCAAGGATGGACGATCGATCCACCTTCGTTCCTGCCCAGCAGCAGGTAAGATTCAATCTCCATTTGAATGTCTCTAAATGTCTTCTGCATTTGCCCGTACATCGGATCACCAGGGGAAATATTTGCATCACCAACTGCAACCCAAATGGTGTTGTTGGTAAATGGTCCGACATGGGTAAAATGTTCAGCAGTTGCATTCATTTGCAACAGCTTCTTGGCCCCCTTTACCATACCTGGAGTGGCATATGAGGATTCATAGTGAAAACCGAGCAGTTGGCAAGTGTAACCTTCTCTAGTCAAAGTCATTGCCACTTGGCGGCGATCATCTTCATCCAACGGAGCAATACGAATAGTGGGGATTGGTACACAACCAATATCGGGATGCGCAAAAATAGCTTCACCATGCCTGCTTCCAGGGACATGGTGCAGATGCCAGTGGGGGAAGACACTCCTAAGCAGCTGGTATGAGACGGACCCCTGTCTTGATCTTCCTGGTTCGTGGTGAGTTTCGATCAAAACAAGAACATTGAAGTTCCATCTCTTTTGCATCGCCACAATTTGGGTAGCTTTTTCCTGGGTCAAACCATTAAGATTGACTGTCACAATGCGGAAAATAAAGTTTGAGCTCATTTTGCAGAACAGAAAGACAAAACCGCACAAAGCAGTTGTTTTTAAAACCGCACAAAGCAGTTATTTTCAAAACCGCACAAAGCAGTTGTTTATTAATAACCGCACAAAGCAGTTGTTTATTAATAACCGCACAAAGCAGTTGTTTATTAATAAACGCACAAAGCAGTTCACAAATAAAAAAATACAAACTAAAATTAAAGAGCAAAATAAATAAAATAAAATCCGTTGGGGAAAACCGACGTTGTATGATACCAGTGGAATTCTACAAAGCACAAGAAATGATAAATCTTCATTAACATAATTACTTTGCTAACCTAGGTTTATGTAAATTAATTAAATCCTTAAATACCTGTGTTCACGAAACAACAATGCCGGTGAAGGACGATGGATAGCGGACACCACAAAGCAGATAAGAATCCGAAGTACGCCGCTCTGTAGACGGATGATTTCTCTTCAATGAACAAAATGAATAGAACATTCTTTGCTAACCTAGCTTTTAATTTAATTTAATGAATTATGCAATTTACCTCGATCCTAACAACCATCCACGACCATCAACGAAGCTGAAGACACGACAAAAAAATAAGAATCCGAGGTGTGCCGCTCTGAAGATGGATATCTGCATATTCAACCAAAAAATTACGATAAATTCTTTGCTAACCTAGCTTTATCTAAAAGAAATCTTACCTCAGAAAGCGACACCAGGAAAACTTTGATTAGGATGGAGGGAAGAGTTGCGGATTACTACAAGTACTTTGATGCGAAATATCTGTAGAAAATTCACGAATTATTATTATTTATTTATGGCTTACCAAATAGTTATTAATTAATTACAAATTACCAGGAGTTGTCTTTCGGAGGAGAGAGAAAACGTCTAGGTAGTCAGAAGAAGTGAGTGAGCGAGCAGCAGTGGTGGTGATGGGCTCTGAGATTCGAACTTTTGCCACCACTGCTGCTCGCTCACTCACTTCTTCTGACTACCTAGACGTTTTCTCTCTCCTCCGAAAGACAACTCCTGGTAATTTGTAATTAATTAATAACTATTTGGTAAGCCATAAATAGATAATAATAATTCGTGAATTTTCTACAGATATTTCGCATCAAAGTACTTGTAGTAATCCGCAACTCTTCCCTCCATCCTAATCAAAGTTTTCCTGGTGTCGCTTTCTGAGGTAAGATTTCTTTTAGATAAAGCTAGGTTAGCAAAGAATTTATCGTAATTTTTTGGTTGAATATGCAGATATCCATCTTCAGAGCGGCACACCTCGGATTCTTATTTTTTTTGTCGTGTCTTCTTCGTCTTTCTCGTCGGTACTGTTTCGCGAAGGCAAGGTAAGCATTTCACAATTGAATTATGTATTAAAAATAAAGCAAAAAAATATTGGTTAGCAAAGTTTTGAATTTTTGAATTTGAAGATGGGAAAGTACAACCATCAGGTGACGGTGAGTGGACTCCCGTTTGGGAGTGCATTTACTTTGACGGTTCCTGGTGATGCTCGAGGTGATGGGGGTGGGGTCGGTGCTCGAGGTGGCGTGGATGGGCGTGGTGGTCGAGGTGGTGGGCGTGGTGGTCGAGGTGGTGGGCGTGGTGGTCGAGGTGGTAGGGTCAGCAAGCCTGGTAAGTTGTACTTCAGGGCAATGCTTATTCATTTGATGTGTTAGGTTTGTTTAAATAACTGAATATTTTATTTTAGAAAAGCGAAAATGTATTCTAGCCGGGAGAGAGGGCATATCGCTGTGTAAGTGGCACTTGAAAGCCTTACCATGATGTTGCTTATATTATCCTCCAACCTAAAATTCATTAATTTTCATATTTGTTTATTTTACAGGGATTGTCCATATTCAAAAGATGAGGCTATTGTTAAACGTGATGCTGCTGACGAGAAGAAAAAGTCACCTTCTTCCACTTCTGCTGCTTCTACTTCTACTACTTACCACGTGGCACCGTTTGCGGGATGGAAACCAGGATTTGTGATGCCTCCTCCACCCCGTGTTGATGCTGAAGGCAATATGATTGTACATTAGCTATTTCCTTCCATTCCACTCTCTATATTTGTTATTGTTTCGAAACCTAATTCGTATTTGTGCAATAAATTACTTTGTCAATATTTGCATAAATTAAGAAAAAATCGGCGTGGAGCTTCGCCCCATTTTAACATTTTCCCATTTTTTTCAGTCATTATGATCCCAATTTTTCACCAGAATCTTCCCTCCACAATCTTGGGACAGGGTTGCAGATTGGGACAACATTTGTCGGGATTGAGGGTCCATATCAGCGCCACCAGAACCAGCAAAACCTAACCCACACCCCACCACCACCTCCACCACATTGCCATTTCAGACATCCTCCCCAACTCCAACACCTCCACAACCTCGGAGGAGGAGATAACAGCAACAGCTCTTTTGAAGAAGGACAAAGCTCCAGCCTCGGCGGAGGGTCAACCTGAGCAGCGCTGGCCGTTGTAATGTGAAAGGCGTTCCACTTCCACTTGATGATTTCTCCATTTCTGATTCTCCTCTTATTGAACTTGACTATCGACATCAAGAGACAAAGCTAATGCTTAATGGCCGCTTAATGGAATTATTGAACAAGTGCCAGCTGTAGGCAAGACCAAAGAAGAAGGAGAAGGAACAACTCTAACGTCGTCTCTCTTCCAAGGGGTTCAACATCCGGAGACTTTTTGGCTTCGCACAACTTTCTCCCACTTCTACAAAGCAAAATAAATAGTGCCTTAATCTCAATACTACGAACACTACTATGCCTACCACCACTCTCATCGTGCACACAAGAAATCAGTGGCCGCGGAACAGAGGGAAAATGTCCCCACGGAAATGCGATGCCCGCATCATCTGCCCATCTTATACCCATCCCTCCCCTATCCTATAACGTTAATGCCCCCACATGTCCCCCCGGCTTCCGTGGCCACTGCCCCACCGATGCAATATATCAATGGCCATCATCCCCAACACGGTCTATCATCATCATCATCACGGCCGTGGCCTCATTCTTCTCGGGCAGACTTTTCTCTTCTCGTGTTGAGTGCGAGCAGGAAATAAATGACATTAACCATCAAGAGTGTACTAATGAGAAATTCCCTCCTGCTGATGCTCCTCCTCGAAGGAAGACTAGACACGTAGAGTGGTTCGGGTGGTGAGAGAAAGTAGTGAAAGTTGAAAGTGAAAGTGTGAGAAAATGGAAAGTGTGTGCAATTCTAGGGAAAAAAGGAACTCGTCTCAATTCTCTGACACACTTATTAAATTATTATCATTACAAGACATTTTTTTCATGTTAATCTCATTTAGCCCCGTAATTTATTGTGTGCTATGGATGTATGTATACCCAAAGATATTGCTATATATGTATGTACCATCTACGTTTCAGATTATATACGCTATTGTTGCCATGAAGTGAAATGTTATTACTTTAATCACGTAATAATAGCCGTTGTTGTATCATTGTCATTCTTGTTGTCCTTAATTATTCGCTGTGTCATGATGATGGGGTGCCATTAGACTTTGCAACCCTGTAATTTATTTAGTCCATTGTTCCTCAAATTTTAATAATCCCAATAGGGTTATGAATTTGACATCATTGAAGTGAACGGGGATTAGTAAGTGCCGCATCAGTCTGGATAGAATGGATTATGGCACCCGGTCTGTCCTCAACCAGGGACAAGGGACGTTTCTCAGCGGGTAATCTCAGATTTTGGGCAAACTGGTGTCAATCGAGGACAAATTTAAGTAGTATGAAATTTGCAAAAGACGCGACTTTCAAATTTGCTCGTTTGGCAGATAAATTTGCATCCGAAGAGGAGAAAATGCGCAGTAAATTCGAAAAGTGTAAAATTTGTTAAATTATTTATGGCCCGTTTTCTCCTCTTCGAATGCAAATATCTTCGCTATATTTATGCACTAGGAAATCGTGTCTGTTGCAAATTCATAATAATTTTCGAACAATTGGCACAATATTAATAAAAATTTGAGAGCATACGCTGAGAGATTTCCATTGTTAAACTTTCTCCTCTTGAAAGAACACGATGAAAACGAGATTATACATTTTGCCATTATTTTCCAGCCTCTCGCGTTGACGGGGAATGGCTAATTAATTCGAGCAACCTGCTGTCCCCGTCAGTCTGATTTGTTGGAGGACCGATTGATTTTTATGGTAATTCGTAGTGGCCAATAACATAATAACTGCCATCCATCCCGCCACTTTAATAACGGCAAATCATTAAAATACAGTAATCTGTTTTGTTTTACAAAATTTCGGGCATACTTCCAACAGTAATTAGCCCATTGACGGGAAAGTATTGCCTTGCCAAATATTGCAGGAAGGAAATGTTGATAGGCTTCAAACTCCCTCTTTCCATCTCGGTGAAAGTTTGGCAGCAATATGTTTAGATTTCAAGGCATACAAGTCCAAAGAAAATCCAGAAATATCTACCAACTTTTAGAGAAAAGAATAAACCCATTTTTACCCCTTTGACGTAATACGTATACATATGTGATTACCAGAGGGCGGATATGTATTTATGGAAAAAATGCTAAAATATTTACGAAATATGTACGAACAAAACATTTAAATTTTAGCAAAATTTGTATTTCTGAATTTTATGGTCTAGTTTTTGTAGTCGAATTTCTTTGAGTAGAAAAAATTCGTTCCGAATTGTGAAATATTTACAAAATATACATATTTTTGAGAAAAATATCTTAAATAGTTACGCATTTTTCGAATAATAGCGGAAACATTTATAAATATTTATAAATACATCTAAAAACCTAGAAATATATAACAATATGTGGAAATATTTTGAAATTTTTGTGCTCTATGCGGTTAGGGAACACACCCACAAAGCTTAACCGTCGGTCGTCATTAAATAAAAAAAAGTTAAAAAATAAATACATATCCGCCCTCCGCTGATTACGTCTCTTTCTTTCCGCTGTATACCTACGATTTTGAGTGCACACTGCACAAACAAAATTTGTCGAGTGAAAATAAGCAAGGAAAATCTTTAGTGGAGATGACACAAAGGCATTTGCTCTGCTGCACATGGTCACGACTTTTTCCCCTCTTGTGCACCTTCTCAAAAGCGAAAGCTATCCATTACACAACTAAAGGTACAACTTAATGGCTTCGAGTAGCAGTAACTTCCGACATTACGAAACACAAAGTTACCCTAAGTACTTTTTTTCTTCTCTCGGTACGTCCGTCGTCTTGAGAATTTAACTAAGTCGTGCCTTCTGTAATACATATTTGCTCAAATAAGTTTCCTTTCTCATGGTCTTATCCGCCGACAAACGCTTTCTCACAACATTCTCACATCTGTTCAGCTCAAGTAGCCTTGAACAATATTTGGATTGCTGTATGTATGAAAACATGTCGTTTCTTTGGGCTTAAGAAATAGGTAGGGAGCAGTGGCCGCGGAAGGGTGGAAATGTCCCCACTGTTGTTTGATGTCCCCATCATCTCCCCATGTTATATAAACCCCTCCCTCCCCTATCCTACAATGTTAATGTCCCCACACCTTCCGCGGCCACTGATAAGTAGAATATTTTAAAGATTTGTATGTAGGTATAGAAGATTTTTTTCCAGGTAAAAATGCTGCAGAGAAAGAATGATGTGAGCCATTATTGTAGGAAAGGAGCCCGTTTTTCTTGAAAAAAGCTGTACCCAAATCATCACGAAAGTTACTCATCTGTGCCAAAAAATATATGAATTTATTTATTTTTGCACCGTTGTTCATCATCTCAGGCCAAGATATTTGGTAAAAATACACGAATTGAGGACAAGTACTGAAATGGAGAGGACTTCACCTCGGTGGAAAGTTGGAAGGTATACAGTAACCGAGTAAGTATTATGGAAGTACGTACGGACCTGCAACAGTGAGACTAATGTGACGGAAGAACAAACAAAGTCTGGTCGTCGTGGAATGAGTGAATAGCCAGTTAGGGACTCGGTCGGCAGTAAGTTTGGCTGGATTCCCTGGACTTGAGATTTTGCACCGACTGCACACACTTTCAACTTTTGGAGATATGAGAATTTGGTTTGGTCGGATTTGCAGCAGGAGCTCGTCGAGTTGGATGGATGGAGTTGAGGAGGAGGAGGAGGCTTGAGGAAGAATAGCGACGGCTAATGTTCTCATTTGAGATGAAAAATACGTTAATCAATCTTCTTATGAGGCTCACTCTGCTTTTCCCACAAGGAGAAAGTCTGACTCTTGTCTTTTATCGGGGCAAGAAATAGGCTCACTGAGGAGGAGTACGGGCCACCTTGTCAATGCCGGATCTTGATGCCCTTTGAATATGTTGTAGGACTATGAGTTGAAGATCTGGTAGAGTCGCATATATGCTCCGTATTGGTGTACATTTGGTAAATAAATTTTTACCGGATTGGTAGTAGTTTGTTTCTGAGTGATAAATTTTGCAAATTCCTAATGTCAAATTATCTGAATCAAAATATACCCCGAAAATCCAATTTTGTTAAGATTTGCATAATTTGTACATATTTTTGATGTCAAATAGTGGCTTAATCACACTTAATTGCAATCTCAGCTTGTTGAAAATTTAAATTTTTTCTCATCTTTTAAAATTTTATGACCAAGACATCAAAATCTGGGATTGCAAAGGTCGTGCGTATTCCTCCTTAGGCTACTACTGCACGTACGTATTCCGTATACGTATGCACCATCACCAAAAAAACATTTCCCAGTGTGATTCTAATGTGATAATTTCCTCTTCTCCTTCTTCTGCAACTTTTAGCCGTCCTCTATCAAACACCTTTATCTTCATCCTTCTTCGTAAACATGGCGGCTGTCAGGCTGGGCGAGAGACAAAGAAAGCGTGATTGCAAATGAGATATACAATAAAACCAGAAAAGCCAATGATTTCCAAACAAGTTACACCATTTCGGACAGAAGTTGGCCAAACAATGCAATTTCCTCGGATTTTCAACACAATAAGATTTTCTAATAAATGCAATACACGTCAAGCAAGGGTACAGCCTGGTTGCATTCTATTTTTCAGGGTGTCGGGTGCAATAAGTAACCACGTGCAAGAAATAAGGGGGAGAAAGTGGTTTCTTGCGGATAGTGTGACCTGCAAGAAATGCAAGGCACGAGAAATTACTTCGCTATATTTCATGATGTTTGTGGCAAGGTGGCGCACATTTCTTGCACTTTCTCCCAGTTTCTTGCATTGCACTGCAAGAAATGTACATACTCTGCAAACCCGCAAGGAATGAAACACTGCTAATTTCATAAAATGAACACTGCTCTACTTATTTTTAGACACTTTTGCAACTGAAGAATTTTATTTTGCTGTTCTATAAAATTTTAACATGTTGGTACGATCCATACTTTCCCGTCCCATATTTTCTCTTTGCGAGACATTCCTTTTTCCCACCGGATGAACAATGCAGCAAGAAGATAATTAAATTATGACCATGCAACTTTCCATCATCTTTTATTCATTCGTTCATGTATACAAGCGATAGTCCGGTTTATTTTTATTTTTCCCCCAAAGAGAAAACAACCTTCGTGCCCAAAATCAATGGAGAATTGAGGAATCAGAACCCGTCATGGAAAAAGAAGAGGAAGATTTTTGCGATATCACGCGTACTCAGGACCGCTATCAACTTATATTTTTCGCTGAACAATGTGCAATTTACTCCCGGGATGAAACATGTGTCTCGTGCTGGTGAAAATGTGCTAAATATTTGCAAAATAATGAGACACATCTTTCCTGCAAATAATATTCAATATTGGCAAAATTAAATATTCGCAACTTTTGTTAGCACAACTAATCTGCTTCCCAAGTTTTCGCGAGTTTTCGTGGTTGCCCTCACCCTCACAACAAAGTGAAGAAAGAGTCGTTTCTTCTAGAGAAAGTGAAGTTATGCTCGTTGTCGAATAACCATTGACTCGTCTCTCGAGGGATTAGAGTTAGGTCTACTGCAGGCCATTTGCATTGAATAAAATTACCCCCAGTTTCCCCCAGTAAACATTTGAGATTCAACTTTTCCTAAAATAATGGCCAGTCACACGGTCCTCTTGCTCCTTGGGATTGGTGGTCCATTGAATACAATGTAAGTATTTAATAAAAAGTTGGGCAGCAAACATTGTGAAGAAGGAAATAGTGATTTGATTTCGAGAAATGCGAAAGTGCCCCACCATCAGAACCCAAAGGGCATAAAAGTTGGAACGACTTGGCCTATATTTTAGAACAGTCGCTCATTTAGTCATTTGCAGATTAATTAACCGGAATGAGATTTTTTATTTTCTGTAACAAAATTTAATTCATGAGGGGAAAGTATACTTATTTGGTTTGTGAGTTAGGGATGCCAAAATCACCCCAAATTCCAGTAGTGACCTTAATAAGTAAAAATGATTTAGTGAGAAATCAAGCCATTTCAACCTTAACGGTAACGTGGGACTCGATAAGTCATCTCCAAAATCAGCACATTTTTAATAATTTCTCGGCGCTGGGGAATTTATTTTAAAATTAAAATATTTGTAAATTCCCAGCGCCGAAATATTTCTGGACAACAAATTTATGGTAAGTTGATTGATAAGTAGGTCGATTGATAGAATGGTGGTGAGTTTTTAAGCCAATTTCGGCGAATTTCAATTTTTTCGAAGACTTCCTAAATTTGAGATCTCCTCTTTCAAAACCTCAAAATCTGGAGTGTATATTTAAAAAAAATTGGTAACAACTTGGTCTTCAAGTTTGTCGTCCAGAATTTTAAAAATAAATTCCCAGAGCAGAAATATGATTACAAAGACAAATGCTGAATTTGACCATGAGTCATCGAGTCTACTTTAATTGTATGTTCTATGCAATTCTCACCATAATAGGGAAATGTCCCATCGTAGTAACCTGTATAAGATACCCATTTATGTAAATATTTATGCACCATATTCCATCGAATCTATTAGATAAACTCTGCTCACCGCTGTAATAGTACGGATAGTGCCAACCACCCCACCCCCACCCGAGAATTCTAGGTCTCCTCTGCACGGGAAGATTGCTATCCTCCGAATTTAATGGGCCACAAAGACATCCTCCCACAAAGCACAAAAGTATGGCAAATATCTATTCAAAGAAAAAAAAACCTGATCAATATTTACCACCCACTTCAAATTCTATTTTAAATCGTGAACACTTTTTCTGATCTTATTGCATAAATTCGGAAATTTACCAGCACAAAGTCTTTCATGTTTTTATTCCTGTGGAAAAAAAATATGTCGTAAAGCTCTCAACTCAACTCTTTCGACGGAAAATATAATGCTACCCATAAGCCCGTTAAGAATCATTGTTTTATAGGCGGCTGGCTGGCACAACTGCCTCAGCAATTAAGGTTATCATGATTTTGATATTATATATACGTCATCAACTGAAGTGAGAGTACTAATTTTTTTGAAATTGCTTTTTCCACTGGAAAAGTTGGATTCGTCATCGGCCGGCGTATACATAATTGGATAAGCTATTAAGAAAAATGCATTCGAGATAATTCCTTTATTGAGTCGTAACTATACAAGATTTAATTACGGCCGGAATTCCATTACGCCTTTTGAACCCATTAGTGGGCGTTTTTATGATTGCATAAACTATTCCGGTGTCAAGAACTATGGCTGTAATTTTGGTTGTGTAACACTTTATAGATGTACAAGTGCGCAAAATGTAAGCGTTAAGGTGCTGTTGTATGAAGGTTTTGGATTTGAATTTTTGTCTCAACTTTCCCTCCAAATGAAACCTGCTCATCTCCGTGGATTTATTTACAAAACGAAGATTTTATTGCATCCAAAAATCGAGAATTTTTAGGTTTGCAAAGTTAGGAGATTAAAGTTCTATTTTTTCCAATTTCCAAAAAAATCAAGAATTAACAAATTCCAATCTCCTAACTTGTTAAATCTAAAATTCTCGATTGTTAGATGCAATAAAATCTTCGTTTTTGTAAAAACCACGGAGATGAACACGTTTCAAAATCTCTATTTGAATACATACACACAAGAAGGGAAAGTTGAGACACAAAACTTCAAATTCAAAACCCGCATACAATTCCACCTTAAAGACATACTTGAAAACTAGATTATTGTAATTCCCAGACTGGAAACGAGTGGGTGGATGTGAGTAAGAGGCGTATTCTTAAACAGTATTTTCATCGCAAGGTGTGTGATTTCTCACTACTTAAAAACTTAAATAAACCACATTTTCTCCAAAGTTTATGTCCCAATTCACCAGTCAATTTTGGATTGGACCGCATTGATGACGGTGCTCGAAAAGTGGTGCTGGTTGAAGAAAACTTTAAATCATCTCCCCTCTTTCTGTGCGAATTAAAGAATAGTCGTCCACTTTTTGGTCCCATGGTGAATTTTTGAGCAGGCGTAATCCATGTAAATCTTTCTTTTTTCGAGTGAGTGAGTGACGATGGAGAGAAAAAATAAATGGACTCAGAGTCCTTTCAATATTCAATCCTCTCCTCAAGTCCCAGAGCAGTCCTCCTCAGTCCTTACCTCACTCACTCCCTCACCTAAACCTAAACCGAGCTTAGTCAAGTTGTCTTCAAAAAATTGTTCATCCTTTCCAACTTAAACTTCTGGCTCGCCTACTACTTTCTCTTTTCTCCGTCTGGGCGAGAAGGTGTATGTATGCACGTACGTGTAACCAGAAGTTAGTGAATTTGGGTCCACTTGACTCCCTCCTATATCTCGTCATCACTTTTTACACTGTTAGAAATCTGGGATTGATTCATAGGTATTAAAGGTGCTACCCGATAGATATTGAAATTATACCGATCCCTGAAAATTTTCTAGCGATGTGGTAAAACTTTAATACCAACCGATTACTGCAGGGTATTACTTATCAGTACCACTTTGGTGGAGTTATACATGAATACGGCTTGGTATTATTTTAATACTGGATTTCAAAGTGTGAAACATCAGATCAAAAAATTGGTAAAGTTGTTTTTAATAAAAAGTAAAATATTTTACAATTTTACTTCGAATTCTTAAAACGGACAAGAATTTCGTACCAAAAATTAAATTGTTTTAGAAATCTGGTATAGCAATAGTCACGCCGGTATTGGTTTCTGGGTATTAAAGTTGCTACCCGCTTGGTATAAAAATTACAAGGGTCCATAAAAATTTGATACCTACCTGTATATGGTAAAACTTTAGTACCGAGCTGTTACTACATACACCGTATTATTATACTCATCAATACCACTTTGGGAGAGCCATATATTCATACCGCTTGGTATCATTTTAATCCCAGATTTCTAAGAGTGTACTTTCTCTCACTTTTCCAAACCTGGATTGGCAAAATAATCCTTCTCGTCTTGTCGGACCAAAAGTAAAATATTTCAATTGTGAAAGCGGATCATCTGGAATTTCCTTATATGTAAAATCACTTTTTTCCAGCACATCTTATTTTTTTCTCGCTATTCGCTTAAAATATTGATATTTCGTCGTAGAGTTTAATAAGTTACAGTGCATCCGAGGAGGAGGACGACACCGAGACTGGGAAATTCTTTTCGCAAAGGTTTGCAAGGAAGGCTGAGACAGAAAATGAAACAAATTCCCTTCTCTCCTCGTTTGTACCGGGTAACAATGTGAAAGGCAATTTTTCATCCGTCAACCGTGGATTATGGGAGAGCACGGCCAACCTCACTTTCACTAATGCTCCTCACCCACCCAGCCAGCAATATTAGTGCTACAGCAGACAGACAAGCCTTTTGGCCAGTCCAACCAAAGTGAGGAAAAACTCGGGCAAAGAAAAGATGTTGACGAGATCCTGGCTGGAGCTGCGGGTTGGATACGGGGATTCCTGTTTATATTGAATATTTTGATCGTCCGTCGAATCCAAAATTTCCCACGGTCTGGGAATGTCGTGCACTGTTAAAAATCCGGTAGGGTTACATATGTATTCCGTACTGGTATGGATTTGGTACTAATCTCCTACAGGATTGGTAGTAGTTTGTTTCTGAGTGGTAATTTGTCATGCATTATCACATTACTAATGTCCGTTATTACCATTGCTGGTAGAGTCATATATAATCAGTAATGATTTAATACCAGTTTTCTAAGATAGTCCGTACTAGTATTGGTTTGGTAATAACTTCTTACCCGATTGGTAGTAGTTTGCTTCTGAGTGGTAAATTTTTCATTACCACAAGATTACTAAACGGTAATGCCCACTATTAGCAGTGCCGGTAAAGTAAAATATCTATATGCTCCGGTCAGTAATGATTTAATCCCAGCTTTCTAAGAGTGTGGTAAACGCTCCTGCTTGGGCACAATTTTAGCTAAACTTTGCTCCCAAAAGAGTGCAAGGACCGGTGCAAATTGGTGGTTGCTTATTATTACAAGATACGCCCGACATAGATACATCTCTCTTTTTTTATGTGGCTCACTTTTCCCCGTGCATACATATCTTGCGACAGTTTGTTTTCATTCACGTCTCAATCACATTCACATTTTCCTCATTTTTCTCCATGTGCCCATTCATGTCACGACTTTTGTGGGATTCTGCGACCAAAAATTCCGAATTCAAAGAAACGACGACGAATGGCTCACTCTCACTTTTTCACATTTGTTGATTTGCTACTAGGCATCCGTCTCCTCGTTTAAGATTTTGTGTGTCGGTGGTAGGCAGCTCCGTGTCCCGCTTTCTTCCTCCTAAAGGGAGAGATCATTTGTTATTTGTTATTCATAATCTGTCACACGGGAGGGAATTTCGGGTGTCGCTTTAGATTTGAAATTTATCTTGCTTCACATTCTCCCCTATTTTTTACTGTCCTCCATTTTGCACCCGGTGAGGAGGAGATGGATCAATCAATTATTTCGTTTTCTCATTAAATTAGCTTGTTTCGTCGCGACGACGAGGACGACGACGTGGCAGAATAATGGATGGAGGCACGAGTGAAAGTGATGCATGAACTTATATCCGCATACATTTTTTACATTCTCATGCATACATATGAGAGGTGCATGCAGCAGGGTCTACCTCATTCATACGTAGGGACGCGTCCAGGGTTTCGCTCTGGTTTTAATCACACTGTACAAAATAACAGTTCAAAACTGGTTTTAGACATTGAATTTTGAACGTCGCGAATATCCAAAAAGTGTTAAAAATCTGGCAAAATGCTACAACTTCTGAGTCTTTCGATAATCCGTTGACGTGTGTGTAATCTCTCATTAATTTTGAGCATTTTGGTGTGTAATAAGGCTTGGTTTAGAAATTTCTCATAAGAAAACATATTAGAACAAAAGTTCTTCCAAATTTCGTGGTATTACACACACACCAAAATGCTCAAAATTAATGGGAAATCACATATCTGTGCATAGATTTGCAAAAAAGGTTAATAAAGAACTTGTAAAATTCTGTCCCATTTTCCAGTTTAGAACGATTTTCGTCATTTTGGCCACTTTTGGACTAGACATTGTCCAAAATTAGAAATACTGCACACATCCACCTCACCACCATCAAGACTGACGATAAAGAGACATAATAATATATAGTGGAATATACATCAAAGGGTTTTCGGAATTAAAATAAAGAGCCAGCCACGACTCACCGAAGCAAATTCTCTCAAAGAACGCATGTACATATGTGCATAGAAGTTGGAGTGGTGAGTTTACAAAATGCTTTCACCGACCGACCTGTTTCACGTATCACACAGGACCAAAAACTAATTAATTTGCGAATGTCACCTTCATTTTATTGCGCCTAATTCATCATCGTTACCAAAGAATTAGCACGACCGCGTTTGAATCAGTGCATTGTGGAGCAGTAAATACAATTTACACAGCTCTTTACTCACTCACTTTCCCTTTTACTTTATTACTTTGCTCCCCCAATCTTTATAAGTCATTAAACCTCCTCGTATTTCAAACTCGATCTTTCTTGTTGCATTTCCTTCGTCATTATTTGATCCTCGATATGGCGAAAAATAGCGCGAGTAAGTAGTTACTGGCACGCAGGCATCATTATTAACCAAAGTGCAGCAATTGCAGTAGACAAGATTTGGAAATTATCATGACACGGTATGAAATGAATTGTTCATTAGGTTAGAGGGTGGCTTTGACATGCAATATATTCATTAGAGGGTCGTTATTTTTGACGATATTTAGATAATGCTGTATACGGAGCACTATCTAATCGATTGAATTTTATTTCTTATTATTTACTGTGTAACACTACGAATGGAGAAGTAACTGAGCATTTCTTGCACCTTGCATTGCCTGCATTTCTTGCGTTTCTTGCACCTTGCATTTCTAGCATTTTGCATTTTTGCGTTTCTTGC